TAGCCACTAAGCTCACCTGTTCAAACCAGCTCAAAAAAATGCGGATTTCTCTAGATCACTATTTGTGACAGGAGGAGGAACATCAAATCAGGGTTAATATGCAGAGAATGTTACCTGATTTTATGTATACAATATTACATTGAAGTTTTCAGACTGTTTTCATACTGTGTGATAGTAAAAAAAAAATAAAAATAAAAAAAATAAAACCTTATTGGCTGAAACTGAACTTAAAATGATTTATGTGAAGCAGAGGTTTAGCTATCAATCACATCTCTCTTTAAACAACAAGTGCAGTTAATTTGACTGTAAATACCTCAGACTCTGCAAAGCAGACTTTCGTGCTTTGGTGCACACACGTCCCTGCCTCCAAACCATCTTGCAAGCAGTTTCCTGGAGTTTTTGTCTCCATCTGCTATTAAATACAAGATAGTAGCATTGTTCCTGCAGCTGAGGAGGTAGTGGCGCTTCAGATCAAATGCTGCCTGCCTTCAATGACCAGAGAAACAGTGACCACTACACAGCTTTAAACATAAAGAGGCTAATACTTTAACCAGAACACAAGAAAAGAGCAACTTGGATCACAATGGACGGCAATTCTCCTGCTGGAGAATGATTCCTGAATATCTCCATCTAATATAGGGCCTAATGAGACAGCTTGGTCTTCTAACCAACTGATGCCAAGCTATAGCATCTCCAAGAAGTGCATTTAAACTCAAGTACTTTCTTCTCTAGCAGGGAAAAAACCCTCCTCCCTCCAACAGTCGTTTCAACAACGATCAGAATTTGCCTAACCTTGGTGCCATCCATTGGATCTTTTGCTTCCTTCTGCTTGCAGCATAACACCGCTGTCAAGTGTTTTTTCCCCAAAGCAGAGCTGGCAGCAGGCATCAAAGGCTCTGAACTTGCTGTGCTAAGCACCTCTTTCCTTCAAAACATCTCGTTCGGTACATGCAGGGGAAGTCTTAGCAGTAACTCTGTTAAGTCGTGGCACAAGAAGCACTATGAGGGAAGAACAGTATTTATCTGACCTCATTCATGATGCAGTATCATTTCACATGATCATTTCTTGGTGGGAAGCTGTCCTGTTTTTTACAGGAAGAATTTGGGAAATTCAGCATTAAAATCAGGTGCAATTCAGCCTTCACAGAAGGCTTTGAGAAGTTCATAAACAGACCATTCAGCCGAAGGCTTTTAAAGAGCAAAAAGGTATTCAAGTAAAAAAGAAAAAAATTAGTTGAGGCATCATTCAGTGTGTGTTCTTTATTCCAATTCAAAGTACATTAGAAACAGCACACAGGACCAGCAGCAGCTTTCATGACAATTCAACCCAATGCACTGCTGTCACGAGGTCATTCAGCTGTACTATTAAAGTAGGTGATTGAAACAAGTCTTCCACTCTACACACAAGCACTCACTCACCTGCCACTTTTAAATAGGTTTCCAACAGAATAAAAATAGATACACCCCAGAATACAAAAAGTTTAATTTTAACAGTTTTTCACTAAAGCCTTTATACAAATTGATAAAAGGGTGCACAATTTCCTAAAATTTTAGGTACATTTTAAATGAGCCTTTTTTTACTTGGTAAAAGGATCCATGTTCCTGTCTTTGAACAGAATATGATGGCCAAAATTGCAAAGAAAATTCCTAGTTTAAATTTACAATTTATACATTTGTTTTGAAGTGATTCCTGCACTGAGTAGCAGGCCGATGGCTGCTCACGCATGTCCCACTTTCCCCAAAGAACTGTGCACCACCAAGTTCTAGGTCAGGAGCCTACTCGTCCTGGAAACCGGGCAGAGGGGACAACCCACAAACTTTCAGTTGTGCACACTAAAATGGTCCCAACTGAACTAAAAGCCCAAACACAGCAGTTGTAAAATACCTTCTCGGGCAAGGATCACCTTGCGGCAAGGGACTGAGGACCTGTCTGTTTTGCACCGCTAGCACAATGAAAGTGGAGTGCTTCCCATCTGTGATTTGGCTGAGCAATTTAACTCAAGACTCTGGTACTGAAACTTACTTTAACAGGTAAATTTGGTGTTCTAAAAGTATTTTTTGGGCAATACAAGCTATCATGATTTTTTTTTCTGAGCCAGATAAATATTCTTGTTTCTACTACTGATCAGTGAAGTCCAGCAGTTCCATGTGTTACTTCATGTGGAGCTTCACAGCAGCATCTTAGAACTGGCACCACCTGCCTAAAGGTGACTAACCCCCACTTCAAAAGACACTAGCATTTTACAGAGGTGAATTTATTCAGAAAATTAATTAGTACAATTCCCTTTATACCACCCCTTGCCCCCCTCCCCACCCACCTACAGCTTGGCAACGTTAAATGCTTCAGATGAACTTCTAGAGTACTTAAATCAAGCACTTTCACCACTGCACTGCTTTACGTATAGTGGCCATTCTAACAAATTAAGGACAAATTAAAACAAAATACTGCCCAGCAAAAGCAACACGGCACCTGTGTTTGAGAGTATGAGCTACTGCAGACATCCTTTGGACAATCAACTTAAGGAAAAGCAGGGCAAATCCATCAGGAAGCCAGAAATGAGTCTTAAGAGCTCAGGGAGCGCCAAAGAGAATGACATCCTATTTCGTACAAGTTGAGTTTTTAGCCAAAAATCAGCTGCCTTGTTTTTTTTTCTTAATCCATGTCCATTATATAGTTGGCTGTTGAATTTTAACTGATCACATTTATGCTGAATTTCATCCCAATTAAAGGCAAGAAAGCCTTTTTTTGTTTTAGATAGTTACATTTTGCCAATTTTTTGGCAAGTGTATTTCTTAGAATTCAAAAGATTTTCCCATTTTAAGGCTAAACTAAGAAATGTTAAAAGCTTCTGTAAACATTTCCTCTTCCTCCCCATAGTTGCACAATTTTAAGTCCAACTGCAATTTTTAAAATGAGGTAATTTTTGTGTACTCGTATCTTAAGAGTCCTTTTCGGGACTAGCTGAGAGGCGTGCCAATCTGAACACTGATCCAATTGTAGTGGGAGAGCTTCCACAGCAGGGTACACACCAGTTCCAGCAGCTGCACTTCAGTTAGTTATCTTCTCAATTTCATCCAAGTCGTCAGTATCCAATTTGCTTATCTTTTTGTCTGGAGGAAAAAATAAAAAATAAAAAAATAAAAAACAGAAGCCAGTCAGATATGATATAACAGAGAACAAAATAGAAGGAAGTCAGGTCTATCCATGAAATATTCATTCAGGTGTTAAAACTGCAACATAAATGTTTTTTTCTTTAATAAAAGGTCCATCAGGATGCTTGAACGTTATCATCTCTGGAACGTCCGTTTTAAGGACTATCCAGGTTGCCAGCAAACACAGACAACTTCGTTTATCTCTGCCTATATCTTACTTTAGCAGCTCACAATCCTAAGTTACACGTAGATACTTGTCAGGCACCTATTATATATACTGCACTATAAACACTGCTTTGCACTCGAAGAAATTTATCTGATAATGGCTTATTACCCCACTTGAAAAGGAACAAATACCATTTGTTGCACAGCTTTTTTTTCCCCTCAAATTAGTCTTTTGGAGCCAATTGCAACACAAAATGCAGCGGATGTCCTCTTCAGCTTGAGCCTTGACGAATATCCATTAGAATCGGATCTGCTCAACATATAGCTAGTCAAAATTCTACTGGAATAGTATCTAATTCAGAGGAAGAAAGAGCTATGAGGGTACATACTGAAGTGTTCCTGGATTCTGTTGAGAATATTCATGCTGTGCTTGCTGTCCACCATGTTAATAGCCAGTCCTCGCTTGCCAAAACGACCTGTACGTCCAATCCGGTGTAGGTAAGTCTCGTTATCTGGGTTGCCATCTTTATCCACAGGAAGGTCAAAATTGATAACAACGGAGACCTGCTCTACATCAATCCCTGATGAAAGAAAGCATCAGATTACAATTACATTCCATCCACTTTAGAGCAGAAACGGCCTCTGTCCTGACCTGCACACACTTTGGTCACAACACCTGGGTTACCAAATAGCAGAATTTTCAACAGCTTTCAGAGACCTGCAGCATGGTTGCCTCCAAGACTAGGGCAGAGCTAAAAGCCAGTCTCAATCTCTGAAGCAATGCCACGAGTGGCTAAGACTAGCCAGCAGAACCTACAGGTGCAACTGGAAACGGATCTTTTCCGCAATATACTTATGAGGTACTTGGAAATAAAAACCACCAAGCTATTACACCAGAGTATCCCATGAAAATGGATAATGGGAAAACAGTCCGAGCTGATCAGCTTTACCCAATGTTTATGAATCCTCATGCACTTCCAGAGGCTCCTGGTGCAGAACCTACTGAAAACTCCCTCCTCCTTTCAATAGCTATAAAAACCCTTTGGCTTTTGAAGTACCAAGTTGTCTTAACTGTTCTAGCTCTTAAACTGCATCACAAATTGCTTCTGGAGTTCAGTATTTTTCAGATTTCCTTATTTCGAAGCATATTTATTTCAAACATTTAGGGTCATCCGTACAAGCAAGGCTAGGAAGCAGCTACCAGATGCTTAGTGACAGGAGTGTAAAAATGTCACAGGATGGAATTTTTCACCTTAAGCTGCAGGAAGCCTACAAGTAATCGGTGTGCGCCCACAGGCATCTTGATACGTACACACACAGAAAGCCAGCAGCTACAGTTCAAAAGTCCTGAAATTAGTTCAAGAACCCTAATTTGTCCAGGCTGGAGCACTCTGGGTTACAACTCCTTTCTGCACCTGGGCCAGCAGTATCTCATCGCAAAAAGTGCTGCTTCTGCCCCTCCCTGGCCCAGCTCTACTGTTCCCTACCTCTGGCACAGACGTTTGTGGTCACCAGCACTTTCTCTTTGCCTTCTCGGAAACGCTCTATGACTGCAGCTCTTTGCTCAACCATCATTTCACCACTCAGCAATGCCACCTGGTGGCCTTCCTTTGAGAGCTCCGCCGCCAGCCAGCCAGCTGTCTTG